AAGCATGAACGTTGAAAGATGCGAAATAGCGAAACTGATCGTCAGAACGGGACACGAAAACGAGTGTAAATGGACAGAAATACAAGAAAGCCCAAGAGAAGAGAAGCAATTGGTACCATGACTGACAGAATCATGTGTTCAGCGAGCTCAAATTTGTATTGGTGGGGCGTTCATTTCGCGTGAAAATGTATGAAAAAAACATTCAAAGATCGATCTCTCATTAAAAATAGGAAAATTCTGACATTTCATAAAATTCATTCATCTTCTATAAATATGCCTACCAGGATTCGTGCTATACGATGTGGAAATCGGCATCTGCTCTGAATTGGACTACTTTTCGAGTACTAATCTATGCAAGATTGAATGAAAAATAGTGAAAAAATTCAACTACCAATGCTTACTTTCGATTTAGGCTAAGTACAGATTTCGTGCAAGATCTATTGGTACCTTCGAAAATCGACTTGACACTATCGGATTTTATAGATTAATGTAAGCGAATGGACGATCAGTAAACACGTGAAACGAGGCCACAGAAGAAAAGATTCAATGTAGACAAAAGTGAATTTGCAAAAAAAGAAAAAAAAGAAGCGGATGGGTGTCAACAAAATACGATTATCCCATGTTAACTCGAGCTAAAGAAGCATAATTAAAAATTAAAAAAGATTAATTTTTAGTAGGACAGAATGGAATGATATATTGTTGTTGTCATGACGTATCTGACTGTTACTATTTCGATACACCCTTACAATGTGTACCTGTCAACAAGAGTTAAGTACAGATATCGTGCAAGATCTATTGGTACCATCGAAAACCGACTTGAAACTTATCGGATTTTGTACATTAATGTAAGCGAATGGACGATCATTAAACACGTTAAACAAGGCCACAGAATAAAATATTTATTGTAGACAAAAGTGAATTTGCAGAAAAAGAAAAAAAGAAGATGGGTGTCAACAAGATACGATTGCACCATGTTAACTCGAGCTGAAGAGGCATAATTAAAAATGAAAAAAATAAATTTTGACGGTACTACTTCGGTAGGACAGACTGAATTGACATATTGTTGTTGTCACGGCGTATCTGACGGTTACTGTTTTGATACACCTTTACAATATGTACCTGTCGAGAAGGGTTAAGTACAGATATTGTGCAAGATCTATTGGTACCATCAAAAACCGACTTGACACTTATCGGATTTTGTAGATTAATGTAAACCCATTTCTATAACAAACTGACATTATGTAGGGAAATAGACGATCAGTAAACACATGAAAGGAGGCCACAGAAGAAAAGATTTAATGTAGACAAAAGAAGAAGCATAATTAAGAATGAAAAAAAATTAATTTTCATGGTACTACTTCGGTAGGACAGAATGAAATGACATATTGTAGTTGTCATGGCGTATCTGACGGTTACTGTTTCGATACCACACAATAATGACGTTACCTACCAACAGAATGAAAAATGAATTTCAACTTGCAATTGTTTGCTTGCATGTTTCCATGCCAAAAACGCATACTCACTTTGAGAAAATGTATGGCAGTAGATGTGCTATGCTCCAGCGTGTCGAAGGTCCAAACGAGCTGATGATGCAGCTGCGTGGCATGTGCAAGCGACCCATTGCGACTGGGAAATGGGGAGATGTGATCATGGGATTTGCTTCTCTGCATCACGTGACACTCATCCCCGCTATCTTTGCAGTAGCCTGCGCATTCACAGTCGTCCGTGTGTGAAACAAGTGTGCCGGAAGTGTACCAAACTGGCGGATTTGGCTGCATGGCCGACGACCGGCAGAGTCAGGGTCCGAAATTAATTCCACTTGAGCTGCGATGGCGACTGTCGGCGAGGCTGAATGGCATGATTTGGGCACGGAAGGGGAGAGAAGAGAAAATGGAATTAATCCAGACTGGGATGAAGCAGGTCGAGTCAGAGAGATGCCAGTCGAGACGGCGAGGCAGAGATGGGATGGGAAGTCATTGTGAAATGGGGAGGAAATGGAGAAAGTGGGCAAAGTGAGGAGACTGAGAATAATTAAGTCAATCAATGAAAAGAGGGATTTGAACAGAGAAATGCGAATGAGGCGGGCAGGCAGACACGATGGCGGGAGGAGTGTGAGCGAGAGGAGGAGAGAAATGGAGAAGAGGGAAGGAGAAGCAGGAAGGATGATGGGAAGACTGGCAAATGGGAAGAATGAAAGACAAGTTGGAAAGAGGAAAGGAAGATGGGAAGATTGAAAGAAAAGTAATCAGTACAGCAGAAGCAGATCTGGAAGAGAGGATGTGCAGAAAAACAGAAAATAAGAAAGAAAACATAAGAAATGGAGACAGGAAGACGGGAG